ATAGTTGATATGTAATTACTTATATAAATTAATTAATAAAGATACGAGCAAGGCCTCACCTTAATACCAAAAAAAAATAATAATAATAACATGTGTATTAATTAAATTTTCTAACATGAAGCAATTAACAAGAATAGAAAATCAAAAATCAATACTGAATTAAATATCAATATTGAAGGAAAATCATTGTTTAAGGAAAATTGATACTGAAAGAAAATTAATGCTAAAGGAAAATTAGTGCTAAAGGAAAATAAATAATCAAGGCTTTTTTTTATTTTTATTTTTTTTTAAGTTTTTTTTTATTTTTTTTCATAAGTTAAATTTTTTTTTTCTTTTTTTTTAACCCACATTTTTTGAAATTTTACATTTTTTTTTTTTTTCTAAACTAATTTTGTTTAATCTGCTTTTTTGAATATTTTTTTTTCTATATAAAATTTAGATTATATAAAATGCATATAATTACAAAACATGTGTATTAATATATACAATTAAGAAATCATATGCATATATAAAACCTATTTTTAATATGTAGTCAAGATTAAAGTTAATTTTGTCTTGGAATTTTCATAATTTTATAATGAATTACTGTAAAAAAATTCTTTTGCTGAACTTACTATTCTATATAAATAATTTATTTAAAGCTAAAATTTATTGGTAATCTTATAAATAGTACACCATATAGCATGTCTTGCACCAAAAAGTATCAATGAAATGCTATTGGTATGCTACTAAAAAATATTTGTATCAACAACTCTACTGCCTTGACTTTAGATGCCTCACGGTTACTCTTCTCTTGGTTCATACTTTTGGAGCATATACCCTTTTCCTCCAGTGTGTTAGCTTGGCAATTTGGTTAGTGTGTCTCTTACTTAAAAACCTAATTGCTCAGTTCTTCAATCTTGAGCCCTAGTTCAAATTTAGCCTTATTGTAGTATCATCAAAGATCATTGTGACCTCCAAACTCAGAACTTGCCAAATAGATTTTTAGTTATTTTAGTTTTTTAAATTTATTGCGCCAAAGCTTTTATTACTAGATAGTATAACTAGAGTTACAAATAATTTAGATTCGACTGATAAATCACTATCAACCGTATACAGGCCCATTTTTTAAAATCATTGCTAGTGGGATTCAAACTCTAGATCTGCTATTTAAAGAGGGTAATGACTAGACTACTACACTAAGTTACTACACCTCTTGCATTTTTAGTACTATTTTTTTTTTTCTTTTGATAACTGCGTACTAAAATTTTATTAAGATGTGATATTCAATACAAAATTAAAATACTTAATATTTAATTAGACTAAAAGCCGGCTGTCTCTTAAAGATGCCCAACTTTGGTTATCACACTGATGATTGCCACTATACTCTACATATGGCGCGATGCATTTAAAGATATAGTATAGCTTGGGCTTAGCTCCCAACACGTCAAGACCTCACTTTCTCTTCAAATTCTTCTTTCTTTTTAAGAAGCATGAGACAAAAGAGGAAAAATTTTAAACAAAGAATCTACAAAAACGACCAAAAAAGAAAAAACTAAAAAAACAAGAAAGAAAAAGAAAAACAGATTGCAAAAAAAAAAATATATAAAAAAAAATCTAAAATTCTAAAGGCACTATTATAACCTATGCATAGCTGGTAAAAATTGTATAACAAGTGCAATGCTTGTATATCTCTTTTGTAAGGCTATGCCTTAACATTAAGTTTACTTTTCAATCTTCCCACTAACTCCAAATCGCTTCGTTGCTCATTCTAATTCGTATCTAGAGCCAGGTACTGCTGTTGTCCGAGAGTTATACTTACTCTAACCCAAGAAAGACCTACATTTCAAGCCAACTACTTCCATAATTAGAGTTCCCAGGCCGAGTCCCGTGAAGTAGCACTGTATCTGTCTGTAAACAAACATGTGATTGCATTCTGCTAGTTCGTCCAAATTTAAAATGTAAACAATGCTGATCTTTTGGAGAGGGTAAGCCAAATCCCTATATTTTATTGAAATTTTTTGGAAGACTAGCAAGGAGACGAGAAAAAGTAAAAAAAGAACCACTTGACCCAATAAAAGAGAGCAGCTTGAGAAAAACCCATTCTTTACTGTTTCCCAGTTGTTTCGCAACCGATAGCTTTGTTGACGATAGGCTTGGACTTCTATCACCTCCACCTATTCACCAAAATTTCATATACAAGGGCACTATCAACTGCCAGTTATCTTGTAAACAGACGCTTTTGGCTTACATATCGAATATATAAAGGAGTCTCCAAGAATAGAAAAAGGTTAATCTTTATAAAAACCACCCTGTTGAAGTCACCTCACTACTACTCTCCAGTATCGAAAATAGGCTTTTTTTTTTGTTGAAAAATTTGGTCCAAGTGATCATCGAAAAGGGTTAATATGCTTTTTAATTTTGATTTTTAGTACTATTATTTTTATTTTTATTTTATATATATATATATATATATTTTCTTTTTTGCAATCTGTATTTGTTTTTTTTTTCTTTTTTGTTTTTTCTTTTTCATCTATTTTTATATAACTCTTTTGTAAATTTTCCTCTTTGTCTTGTGCTTCTTGAGAAAAAAGAAAAATTCAAAAAAAAAGTTCAATAATTATAATATGTGAAGTATTGAGAGGGTATCTATATAGTACAAATTCTTAAAAAGTTAAGAATTCTAAAAGAAGCAAACAGGTTATCTTGGGCAATTTTTGTTTGAGAAGTCTTTATTATATAGAACTATATTTATAAAAAATTGTATTTATATATACCAGTTTATGCAAAGTTTATATAAATAAAGCATGACTGTTAAAAAAAAAAAATTACGTATCACTAAAATACAGTACTAGCTTTAATAAATAAAAAAATAAAAACTTCAAACTGGTAATAAAAGGTTCAAACATACAGTATTTTTAAATAATTTTAAAAAATTTTAATAGTTATTTATATAATTATTAGTGGTCAGGGTGGCAGCGTCGAGTAAATAATCAATTGACCTGTACGACCCGGTACCGTAATTTGCCGTATACAAGATCCGGGTCTGTTACATTCCACCAATTTTTAAACCATATAGTAGACCCCGGGTCTAGTACTCGCTGAGAGCTATATCGTGAAAAGAAAAAAATTTAAAGTGCATACACACTTTGTATTTACAATAGGCAGCATTTGATTAATGTAGATTTTGTGGTTCGCGCCAGGGTCTAATTCATGGTGGATCTACTATTTGAGGGGATCTTGTATACGGCAAACTACGGTACTTCGCTTTATCGTATCTAAAAATTAAAAAAATTAATTTCTGGCAAAATTAAAAATTTTGAAGATTATCGGCCTAAATTAATTTAGTGCAGCCGATGATGTGAGCAGGGTTGTAAAATTACGGTAATTTATTGTAAGTTACCAAAATGGTAAGTTACTGGTAAGTTACCGTTACCGTGAAAGTAATCTATGCTTTATTCCGAAAGTATCCGTGCTTCAAATGTGTATTTGGTATCCTACCATGGTAACTTACGGTAATTTAACGTAATTTACCAGTAACTTACCACTAACAACCCTGGATGTGAGCAGTATAATTGGTTTAATACAGTATATACATGTAAATTTCACATTTTAGGACCGTTCTTGCTGTATCTATTCAAATATCATGTGAAGCAGCTTGGAGTCGACTTAAAAAAGCTCGGTCAAACCAATTTAAAATCGACTAATTTTAACATCCCTACCGATGACCTTAGGTGCCTATATGACCTTTATGTCCGTCATAGGTCATTTGGTCATAACGAAGGTTGATATATGACTTTATAACCTTTTAATATTGTAAGAATCATAATAAAAAAATTTTTTAAATAGTATTAATATGACCTATGTGACCTATGACCAAGGTCATATCAAAAATATGGTCACATTTACCCAACCACTTCCAGCCATTTGATGGTACTTAACGCCAACCAGGTATCGAACTTAGAACTATTTGTTATAAGAAGATATACTACCCACTATACCCACTATACCACGAGGACTTAATGATAATACTTATTCTTCCCACTATAATAAATATACATGCGCAAACTTTTTATATGAATTCATATTAAATCGGTTTTTATTACATACAAACTTTGTAAAAAAAAAAAGAAAAAAAAACTTTCAATGCTAAATAATGTATAGTCGTTATTTTCGATATGTATTGCCGCGTTTGACATTACTCACGGGCGGACTCTGAGAACGTGTGTGGGGATTTCCGGATCCATGATCACTTGTTGCACTTGTTGAACTAGCCGCGCTCAGCCGTCTTCTGGATTGGTCTACCTGCAGAGATCCTGTATTAACGTTTGCACTACTGGTGCTTACTCCAGTGTTAGTACTTCCACGTTGATCAGTAGGCGGTATGTTTCCACTATTGTTCTTATTGGATATTGATGTCACAGATTGCGACAAGTTATTACTGCTTGCCGGAAGCGATGTACGATCACGAATACGACGGTTTCGGGTAGTTTGACTACCAGAATGACCAAGAGAATGCAGAGCTACAGATTAATTGATTATGTGGTAATATGGCCAAAGTAATAATAATAATATAATAATAAATAGATAAAAATTAGATTTATAACAATTGGCAAAATAAATTACTTAATAAAACAAAGACTTACTTTGTTTTCTAGTCTTCTCATGCTTTGCTTGTACTGCCCGAAAATGTGTCAGAAGTTCTTGAAATTTAATACCGTCATCCTTTACGTATGATTTTGTTGATTGTCGTTTAGTATCAGTTGGTGACGCACTAAAAACAAGTATTTAATAAGGAAATGAAATTTAATAATTCAAAAAAAAAAAACACATTTACCTTCTCGGAATCAAATGTAAAAATCCCATCGATGAAACACTAGTCAATCTATTTTTTAAACTGGCAAACGCACTGCTCTGCGGTAAGAGCATTAACAACCCATAAAGGCATTTAAAAAGATAAGGATATTTGTCTGGCTCGAGAAGTTGGAGGCGTAAATCTGTTAGATAAAGATAATACTATATAAGATCGTCATTATTTATCTATGTAGCGTGAAATATATATAATAATTATATACATGTAAAGACTGGCGATTCAAGTAACTGAACTAGTTTATCTATCTGAATTAGCAAGTTAACAGTGATATCTAGGTCAGCGCTAATAAATAAAAAAAGAATCAGTTAGACATGCAATGATGAAAAAGAAAAAAATTATTGTCCAGAGGCTTTCAAAACAAATAGTACATACAAACTTTGTAATAGATTAGCCGCATGTTCATATGCTTGTGCTAATAGGCAAAGCGAAAATGTAGCCACTGGATTATGACACCAAGATTTGTACAAGGTTGTAAACAACATTTGACCGTCTTTTGTTTCAAGATTTTTGAGTCTCTTTCGCAGATCCGAAAGCTCAGGGGAAGTGATGAGAATGCTATTAAGATTTTGAACCATGCTAGAAGCAAATTCGATATCCTACAACAATATATAAATAAAAAAAACCAGATTAGTTACTCATCACGAATGACAGAATTTAATCACATTTAGTGGCATTTATTTATACCTCCTCTTTCTCAAGAATCTCCGCAAAGCTACGGTATATACGCTCTGAATTAAGGCTCAAACATAGATTACGAATAATTAGACTTCCTCTTGTTTCAAGCAATTTCCGATCTGTACTAAATGATCTTAATAAATCTCCCATAAAGCGCGTAAAGTATTCATCTTCAAAACTTGAAGACAGTTGCGCGAGAAGCTGAAGATCTCGTTTAACTACCTAAATTAAATTTAATAGGATCACATAAATGAATTGTAAATTTTACAACAAAAAAAAAAACAAACCAAACCAAAAATCGAATTTACCTCTTCAGATGGATCTGAAAGAATATCTAATAAAACTGGAAAAGTACCATCATCGATCGCAAGAATCTACAAGTATTTGTAAACGATGTAAGTGATTATTAAGTATTTTAAAAGGCTGAATTGTAATGTTATTCATCCATTATTACAAACCTTCTTTGGTGCTTTTTTATGAAGCATCAAAAGCCAGTCCAAACTTGCAACTCTAGTTTCCTCATGTATATTTGAGAATTGCCGCACTAAAGCCTCAACTGTAGCCTGATAATCGAAGGGATCAACGTGCTCATCTATTGAAGGAAGTGAGTTGGGTGTATAAGCACTTCCGTTAGGTGCTGATGGTAATGTAGGTTCCTTTGATACCATTGAATAAGGCGGCGGCTGTAATGTTGGTAGACCATTAGTTGGAGTTTCCAGAATAATCTTGTGAAGATTTTTATTTAATTCCACTGCACTATTTCGAATAGGTAAATATATTGGTCAAGAAAAATATTCGGAAACAGCATAACTGAAAATAATTATCACATTATATGAAATCATATGAAGGATATTTGTAGTAGAATGCGCCAAGGAAGGTAATACAGCGCTTATAAGCTGTGGTGTAAATGAAATTATTACTTCTTTGGCGATATGTATGAATTCATTTATCCATTTCAACGCTGTAGCTTGAATCTCTTCCTCTAAAAGAAATTATTTTACTATTTAATTGGCATAATAGTATCATAAGTTAATTAAAACCAGAGTAGAAACTCTACCTGGAGAACATAAGTGGTCCATTAAAATTTGAACAATTCTGACATAATTAATTACAACACCTTGACCTGGAACCCATGAACCTTTTCCCCTTCCTTCAGTTTCACTTAATGAGATAGCATCCCAATTAATGTCCCCATCTATCGAATTAGGGCCCAATGTTGTATCATCACTATCGCCTTTCGTGCTTCCATCTTTCACACTCTCTCCAGCTTCACTAACAGTCTCGGATGCAACGACCATTTTCCGTTGTTGTTCGACAAAATAACTCTTCATTGCCTGCTGTTTTTGGTGTTCCTTAACTTCAAATGCTTCACGTATCTCAGCCAAAAAATTAGCCAGTATAGATGACGTAGCATTTCTTATGTCTTTATTCGGATCGCTTAAAAATTGTAGTAGTCCATCCAAAAAATCCGGTAAAAATGACACAAGTTCAAGATCTGGGATTGAATCTAACACAGTAATCCACGATACCAAAAAGTTGCGTGTGAAAGGATTTTTTGCATGAATGCGTTCGGCGAGAAGCGGAATGAACCGGGGCAAAGAGAATGCAGTAGTGCGTGGCATTGAAACTGGCTCTGTTGAATCATCGTGTGACATAGATGCAAGAACCAAAGCGGATACATATGTAGTAGATTGTTCAGCAACGATATCCTTAATCAATCTATCCAAAAGTTCGGTTCCATTTTTGACAGAAACTTCGGAGTCTGCCGCCAGCTATATTAATTCATTCATTGTAATTTATCGCGTTAAATGTTGATGTAATACGCTGAGAGGTTAATTTACTTTTAGATACTTTATGGGGTATCCTAAAAGATTGAATTTGTGAAAAATCATTTACCTTACTCATCGCATCAAACACTTCATTAAAATACCGTAAAATTTCACCTTTAGACACCTTGGCGATATTATACATGCTTTCACAAGCATAATATCTTACGCGTGAATCTTGATCACTAAAACAAGCAAGGACAGGTGGAACAATTTCGTCCAAATACACTGCTACATAGATAAATAATGACGATCTTATATAGTATTATCTTTATCTAACA